TATGAATTGTATAGGAAATTTCAACCATCACAGAACTTGTTTAAGATCTACGGGCAATCTCGGAAGCCTAATTAAAATACGAAAGAGTCAAGCAGTTAATTTCTTTGGCATGTACAACTTTGATCGTAGATATGCAGACCTACTCTTTGGTCGCTGTCTCCTTTAGCTTTCTAGTGTTGATATGATCTAGTTTTTACAACCTGGTTGGGGCAACAGAGAGACCTTGTAGAAAGTACTTATTTTTCGTGTTTGAGTAGAGTCTCGAGACTACCAGTAAATCAGTGTAATGAGATTTATTCACCCAAATTCGTTTAAGCTGATGAAGGACTGGTAGGAGAATTTTCCCACAATCATATGAGTTGAGCTGACGTTTCCATTCCATTTCACATCGCCATGCTTTCCCAAAAGTTGTTCTCATCCAGGCACCACTGGACTGCATTTTCGATCTCGCATCGGTCTTATCAACACCCCTAGCGGGATTCGAACCATGACAGTGCAGAATGGAAGCTTGACACGTTAACCACTGGGTCACATTGCCATGAATTCCCTCGGTAACAGGGCAGATGTCAATTTCAAAGAGGGCTAGACATTTTCCCATATCACATTCTTTGGTGGCATTGTCGATGATGCACACGTTTTTTTGCTATAACAAGTGATCAACGTGTCAAGCTCACATTCTGCCCGGTCACGGTTCGACTCCCGCTGGGGGTGTTGATAAGACCGATGCGAGGTCGAAACTGCAGTCAACTCCAGCCGGAATGAGAACAACTTTTGGGGAAACAAGGCTATGTGAAATTCAATGGAAACATCAACTCTACTCATAAAATTATTGGAAAATTCTTCTACCAGTCCCTCATCACCTTAAACAAAATAGAAAGTACTTAGTCCTGCGCCCTCCACCCTAGTATGCATAATGATTTCCATCATAGAAAAGTTGACTCGGTACATACCGAGACATCAACAATCCAACCCAAAAAGATGATGTGGGAAAGGCCTGGATTTCCTAGAATTTATCTTCCTGTCTGTGACTCAAACGGTATGCTGCAATACCACTAACCGGGTTCGAGTCCCGTTGGGGGGTGCTGATGAGGCCGGTTGCGCGAGGTCAAAACTGCAGTCCCCTTAAATAGATATGAACATACTTTTTGGGAAGCAAGGCTATGGAAACCTGAGGCCTGCTCTATCGTTGTGGGATAATTCAAATACTAGTCCTTCATAATCTTGAACGAAGATGAGTGATCCCATCTCTCATTCATAAGCTATGGACTATCAGAATTTATTTAAAGTCAGTCACCCACTTATTTTATGCAAATCGAGTTTGTATGAACGCCCAAAAAAGAATATCTTCCCTACAAAAATAGTGGTTTGCATGGTTAGCGACTGCCCTAGCTGAGGTCTTCCTGACAAAAAGTGGCAATGTGTCAAGTTAAAAAGGATTAGCACCACCCGATCCTGCTGAAACTTTGCAGATGGCATCTGAGGCCTTTGAATGCTGCTACTTAAACCTACTCTCAATTCAACGGTCACCATAAATTGCCCTCGAACTCGTGGAGCTCTGCACGAAGTACATTCATGCGAAATTGAAATTGTTCCAAAACAGGTTTACATTATACTTTCTGCATTACTTACTGGCCAGCAATAATTGCACCCGACTATTGTAGTTTTGAAAGCAGATAAAGCGCTTTATTCTGACAAATAAACAATAAACTGGTTAGCCCTTACATTGAATTTCAACCCAAAAGGCTTGAATCCAGGAGGGATCACGTTTTCGATCTGATATGGGTCTCATCACCGCCCTCATTGGGATTCGAAGCCAGTTGGCTCGCATGACCTAGCGACATGCTACGATTTCGTCATACAGCCATGGCTACAAGTGTATGATGACAAGGCAGATGTGACTTTCAATGCAAGCCAGGTTACATCCAAATCCTATTTTTATTTAGTAGGGATGCAGATGATGCAAGATTATATTTGCAATTAAAGTCGATAGCACTACTTATATTTGATCTAAGTAGTTGTTATTTAAGTAATTATTCCTAACGAATTACTCACATTAAACACGGACAATTGTCTCCCTTGGTTCAAAATAGGCGGCAAATGCTTGATGATGCTTATGCAAAAAAAGGTCACCTTCTTTCTCGTCCAAAAGAACCTACCTCAACTCGCGGTTGTGCTTCGCCCGACAGGTCCGTGACGAGTTCCGCCCAAATCGGCCAGCCTTTCAGGCCTGTGAGTCGTAGCATCGGGCCCACCAGCTGTTCGAGATACTGTCCTCCGCCTGGTAGTTGGCCCTGAGACCGAGCCCCGGCGCTGCCCGGCGGCAGCAGAGCCCAGCCGCCATACACCTTCATCAGGTGACCGAAGAGAGCCGTGTAAGCGGCGGGTTCACTGCGTTGCGACAGATTCTGGCAACTTCTGTAGAAGGCTCGGCTCAGTTGGAGACCGGCACCCTCGCCGGGAGACCAAATGCCTTCTGGAAAATGAAAGATCTCCAGTTTCATAATTCAAGTCAGTCTGGGTTGCATAAGATTATGATAAACTGATAGCTGAGGTTTTCCCAGAATCACGTGTCCTTTGCATTTCATACAAGCTTGCTTCCCACAAGTGTGCTCACTCTGGCTGGACTGGACTGGACTGCAGTTATGAAACCACCTGAACTGGTCTCATCGGCACCCCAAGTGGGACTCGAACCCGAGTTGCGGTAGTTCAGTCGCTTATCTCGGCAGGTCACCAGTACACGGCACTACCACGCTTTCCTTGGTTTCACAACTTGGTCATGCCGGCAGGAAGACCATGAGGAACGTACATATGCCGGAGTCCATTGTATGCATGCTCATTATCAGAGTCGGACCGTGCATTTGGTACCTTCACAGACATTTCGCCAGCATCGTAGTTGACATCATTTGTGAGTCTTGCCCGTCTCAGCAACCAAGCTACAATTCATCAAAGGGACAAGGGAAGTCAATTGCTTGGCCAACTTTCTGCCGGGACGGTTATGCTATCATCCTCTCTATTCATTTCATACCCTCTCGTCTCACCCCCGTCTCATCACAACTTACGACATCTTTTTATTCCACAAAATATGTACCATTTTGACGAATTTACCGTCGCATTATCACCTCCTGCTTGCCTTGCTTCCCTCCCTTTTGACTGGCTGCTCCTGCTCTAGTCTCCTGTCCGAATCTGCTCATGGGCCCCTGGGTTCGTTTCTTATCTTTCCGCTAGACCGATTTCACTAAGTTCCAGCACCAGCCCCAACTCCAGCGTACCTCTACTCCAAGTGCTGTTTCTCAAGCCTTCAGTGGCACGTACAAAGTCGCTTCACATCTGCAGAGCGTCTAGACTATGATTCCCATACCTGCGGAGATTAGACGTTACCTTCACGCATCATCTCCTCGACTAAACCCATGTAATCTGAGCAAACTGTAGACATCTAATCTGGCCGGCTGCTTCATCCCAAGTGGTCACATTTAGTAAATTCGCCAAAAGGGCACATCTCTTGAGGAACACAAACATGTAAGAAGTTGTGATAGGCTGACGCCGAGACTGAAGGTTAGCAAATGGATAGAGGGGCCAGAACAACACGACCGTTTTGACAGAAAGTTGGTCAAAGGATCGGCTTCACTTGTCTCTTTGACGAGTTGTAGTTTGGTGCTAAGAATGGCAAGACTCACTGACGATGCCGGCGAAACGTTTGTGAATGTACCACGTCCACGGTCCGACTGTAGAAATGACGATGCATACAATAGACTCCGGACAAAGTGCGTTCCTCTAAGTCTTCCTACCAACATGACCAAGTTGCGAAAACAAGGTCAAACAACTTCTTAAAACAATGAAGGGAGACTGCGACCAAACAAAAGGTCACACCATCTTGGTCTTCATACATTCATCAGTAGCTTGGCCTTATGGAGCAATTTGTGCATTTGGCAAAATGTCAAAAAATATCTGTTTTTAAAGGTAACCCTCTGGTTAATACGGAAAGTAAAGAGCTCGTTCCACTCCACTTGCTAATGATGGACTGTATCCGTGCAGAATACGTCATTTCGCAAAAGGTTAGGAATAGAGGTCGAGTTGTCTTCTATCCCTCTTGAAAGGCATTTGACTATAAAGTTGCGAAACCAAGGTCAAACAACTTCTATGCAGCCAAAGCAGATATCTGCAAGCATGGCAATCAGAGCTTATACGAAGAAAAGTTGGGCTTTGAGGAATCTCTTGTTTCACAATTGTTGAGCTTACTTCCATTTTGAGTAGAAGTGTTGGGTGAAAAGATTCGAATGTCAGTTCCACCAGAAGACGATGGCGGATTCCTCTTGACCAGCTGCCGATTGGCTTTACTGCATCAATTATGCTGACGCTGTTTCCGAGGCAATCTCGTTCGATTCCGGTGAAAAGGTGCTAAGCTTTCGTCCGTCACATGACGGACATCATCAGAGTGAGGTAACATAGTCACAACAAAATTCAAGCCTACGAGTCAAGAAGACTCACCGGCAAATCCCTAGAAAGTGGTATATATACTCTACATCTGGCCTCAATGATCGGGTATAAGGTGATTTGGTTAGTTAAGGTCAGAGCTTAAGCGCTCCGATCAGTGAAGCGTCAGTGTATGTGTTTCTAG